CCTATTGCTTCCTTGCGTCCCTTCTTGTTAAGCCTCATGCTCACACCCAGCTCTCACAGTAAGAGGCTGGGACAGTCCTAACACAGTCTCCGGTCATAGGTATTTGCTGACTGCAAGTATGAACCCATTGCAACTCTTAGCACCAATGTGCCAATCTTGTCGTGTGGTGGCTTGGCAAAGCGATGGCTAGTCCCCGGCTGGCGGATGGGCTGGATCCTAATTCATGACAGGAGAGACATCTTTGGTAATGAGGTGAGAACTGCTGTGTTGCTGTCACAGCATCAGACTTGCATGGTCTTCAGTATGTGAATCACCAGGTCTTTAACTGATACAGGCAGGTACTGCTTTTTGCTCTCACGTGGGTGTCACCCAAATGTGTTTACCTGCTTTTCTGCTGCTCTTTGATGTCCCTTCCTTACTCCATCTGCTCCCAGACATGGCCTTCTACCCACATCTACACTGTAACTCACTCCATGTCTCTGCTCATTAATATATTCCTTGTCCTCTTTCTGTTCTTCTAACTTCCCAAATAGCTCCAGTGTGCACTGAAAGTATTGCATGGCTTATTGGGCTTGTGGAGTCCATGTGTGGTGTCTATATGCTCTTACATGGTTTCTCTTAAAAGTAAGAACAAAGCACCTTGCAGTGCTGCCAGTACTTTATCTGGCTATTTTTCAGCTGTGTTACAAGGACAACCATCTACTGCAGTGACCTTTCCACCTAGAAGGCTCTCTGCAGAGGAAGAGGGAGAAGAGAGGACCAAATGAGTGAGCAGAAAAGCTAATGTTGATTGTCCTTACCTGGCTTTGAAAGTGTGGATTGTGGGCACAAACCTAAGGGAAATGCAAAGTTTTATTTTGGAACAGTTCTGCCTTTATTTGTATTATATATGTTCCAGCCTGGTTTGAGTCAGATTGGGAAGCTCCAAAGGATGTCTGTGTTGGCATTTCAATCTGCAATGGAGGAACAGGGAATGACTCTGTAAATAGTCTGCTAAACCTGCCAAATAGTCAAACAAATGTTCTTTAGTACTCTGTATGCTCACTGAAGAGAAGGGTGTGAACAGCTGTAGAAATGCAGGAAGTGAGCCTTGGAGCTGTTCCTTTCCTTTAGAAAAGCATAATCTAAGCAGCAAGTATGATGTTTTCTCAGATCAGGGATGGCCTTCTAAGACTGAGTCAAAGGATCCTAGGACCCTGTACAATTGTCCAAGGAGCACTGGAGCATATCTTGAACCGAACACCACCTGAGTTCTACCACAACACCCTTAGCATCCTCAAGGTAAACAGGCTGTTACAGATCAAGGTCTGTTCACAGATTGTTTGGAGGGAGTCCTTTCTAGTTCATCATTCTTCCTCTCCCTCCCCGCACTTGGAGGTCCAGTTTTGTATGTGATTAGGGTGACCCAAGAAATCAAATTCCAGCAGGAGACATTGTAAGAGGCAGAAATACCGGCTGTGATAAGTTTCAGGCAGCCTAGCGCTGCAGCTGGAGCTGCTGACCCAGGGGGTGGAGTTTGGTACTGACTTGCTGAGCTCAGCTCTGTAGCGCCTGCTGTACTCAAGGCCATGATCTCCCATGCTGTTTGCATTCGTTGTCCCTTTATTTGCCGTAGGCAAACCTGTTCATAGTCCCAGTCCAGTGTTTGGCTTTCAGTCACCAAGCTGCTTCCTGGAATTTCTCATGTTTTGAAATTTCTCCTTTTTTGCTTTTCAGTCTAATGCTGACCTTTGTTATGCTGCCTTATCAGCTATCCCTGGCCTTCAGCCTGTCAGGCCTGCTGGAGCCATGTACCTGATGGTAAGTGAGGATTGCTAACACTCACACTAGGTCTGGTTGCCAGAGCTAGTCAGTCTTTCAGACTGGTACTTGCCACCAGGTCTCCGTTACTGTGCATTTTCATATTGCCCTGTGTGGTAAATGCATCCCCTGCATTTTTGCATTCTAATGTGACCCTTGGTTACATCAGAAGTGCAGGATATGCTGTTCACTGCTCACAGAGCAGAGGCCAGCACACTTAACCCACTTGCTCCTGCACAGAGCTCCATGACTTGTACTTTTCAAGACAAGGCTGTTTTACCTGGATATGAAGCCAGCTGGCAACTGGAAGCCTCTGTAAAATAAGGCAGATTATCATACCTCCTGTAGAAGATGTAGCCTTCTTCATACTAGCATGTCTGTCTTCTGCCTGTGGTGTTGCCTCTTCTTCTGCCTTTTCCCATGCCTGTTTCTTTTAAAGTTTATAATATGCTGAAATTTCCTTTTTCATCTTATCAAGCTCAGTTGAGACAATTATGACACATTAATACTTGTTTTTAAAATATTTTATTTTATTTTGTTCCATCTCATAATGTCTTCAGTTTTTCATTCACTCTTAAAATGTGGACTCAGAACTGGACAATACTGCAATATCTGTCTCACTTATTTCTACAGAAAAATCCTTATCACTCGACCCTGTTTCAAATTTTACCCAGTGCTACACAGCTAATTTTGCTTATGTTTTTTATGTAGAGGCACAGCTCTAAGATTCTTTGACGCTTAATGTATTTCTACAGTAGCTGACCATCTATTTCAAATTAAATCATGTGTTTATTTTTGTTTTCTACTAGCTCTTTCAGAACTTCTGTATGCAAATTATCTTTCAAATTATATGTTTAAGAATACTTTCATGAAATGTTTAAAATCTTCTTTGGTTATAAAGGTCAGTCTGGATGGGGCCCTGAACAAGCTGATCCAGTGGGTGGCAGCCCTGCCCATGGTGGAGACATTGGAAATAAATGAGCTTCAAGGTCCCTTCCAATCCAAACCATTCTAGGATTCTATAAACAAATGGCCAGAATAGCACTGTTTTGTGTGAGAGATGGACAGCTGCCTTCTTTCCAAATATAGAAAATAAATATTTACTAAAGATTTTTCCATTTTCATGTCATTTTACCACTTATATCATCCTACAAGGATTTATTTTATTCATGATATTCTAGACCTTACTATATTTCTTTTTATTTTAAACCAAAGCATTAGGGTTTTTTCTTGGATGACAGGATTATTAATGCATCTTGAGTTCTCTACCAAGCTCTGTCTCAATGTCTTATTTATTCCTTTTCACTTCTAATTGGTTACTGTGTCTTTTCTATGAGGTGTTTCTTTATTGAAGTAGCATTTAACTGAAATTCCATCTTTAGGTAATTAATGAAAGCTTTTTCAGTAGCCTGGTTTTCATTTATATGTTTCTGTCTTGCATCCCAGGCAGCCCAAATCATGAGCAAAAATTGAGGGCAGACAGGTGCACTTGACTAGGAAGTTGTTGGGCCATGTGTGTAAACAAGGACATTATAGACAGTTTTGGTGCCCTTGATTGCCATGTTACATCCCTTTGATGCAGGTTGAGATTGAGATGGAGCATTTCCCGGAGTTTGAAAATGATGTGGAGTTCACTGAGCGACTCATCTCGGAGCAGTCTGTGTTCTGCTTGCCAGCCACGGTGAGCCTAACACTGAGATCCCCAGGCAGCTGCGAGGCCAAAGCATGGTGGAAGAAGTGGTAGGGGTTTGCATCCCTGAGCTCTGAGGACAGGCTGGGAGTTGCTGGGAGTATGCAAGTGTCCATGGCCTGTAGTAGTGTGTAGGAGCTGCCTGCCAGCTCCTTGTTCTGTGTGTGGCAGTGTGGCTCACTACCAGCCCTCAGTCAGGCTTCCAGGATCTTCCCAACTCCATACTCCCCAATACTCTTGAGTATTTCTCAAGATCGCAGAGCTGTATTCCTGAACTCCATATACCCCCACTCTTCCTTGCTGAAGGTGCTCCCTCAGAGGAGTGCTCCCACCTATGTTCCTTTCCTCAGTCTGTTTCCAGTCCCCCACCCCTGCAGACATAAGGAAGGCTGAGAACACCTGTGCCTTGCTTTCACTTCCAACACCGGATATGGACAGGGCCTTAAATATTCTCCAGCCCTCTCCTTCGCTAACTCCTTTCACCCCACTCCTTGCACAATCTGGTCTGCACAGTTCACACAAAGTCCTCTGGCCTGTCCCTCTCACAGCATCATGTCAGCACAGATGGAGATGGGAGATTTGCTTGGAACGGGAAAAACAGTCTAAGGGAGCAAGAACCAAACTGTGCTGTTCCACATTAACCGTATTCATGTGCTGATGCAGCTCATGGTGCCAAGGCAGGGCTCTAAAACTGGCACTATCCCAGGTGATCTGCCAGCTTCATCTTTTCTCTTTTCAGTGCTTTGAGTACCCAAACTTCTTCCGCGTAGTGATCACCGTGCCTGAGGAGATGATCTTGGAGGCCTGCAGTCGCATTCAGGAGTTCTGCGAGATGCACTACCAGGGTGCTGAGGGGGGCCAAGATCTGGAGTGTGACAAGTAGCTACAGGTGGTCCCCTGCCTCTATCAGGCTTGACCTTGTATGAGGCAGCAGCCAGGAAGGCAAGGCTGCTTCCAGCCAGCCCCACCTCTCCTTGCCTGTAAGCAGCCGCTCTCCTGCTGCTTCACTTTTTGTGCTCCACAGATTCCTCAGCATTATGGAAAGAAGACACTTCTCTCTCCTCCTCCACCAGAGCTTGCACATCCTCTTGCTTCCAGTCCCTCATCTCTCTGTAGACTCAACATCTGTGCCCTGTCTTGGTTTGTGCTACCTGTGAACCAGCTGCAGGCAGGGACAGAAGGTTATTCCTGGGTTGGGCCCTCTGGAAAAGGCCCTGTTGGCCTGTAGCTCCTGTGCTGGCCACACTTCCCCCTGGGGACAGGAGAAGGTTTCTGTCTTGGAGGATAAAAATACCCACCTCTCACTTCCCTATGTTATCTTAGGAGACCAGAGCTCTTTATACTGAGCCCTTTGTGTGACAAAGGGAGTAAGTTATTGTAACTTTTTTTATTAATAAAAATTCTGACATGGCAATCCTGCACTGTCCTACTGTTGGGCTTGGTCATTGTGTGGGTCACCTTTGCTCAGCCCATGGTATTGCAGTGCCCCAGGCATGTCCCTGCCTGCCCAGGGCCATCCTGTGTGCCAACAGGGGTATGGTGAGAGTGATTCAGGCCCCCAAAGAAACCCCCACCTGAGAGTAGGATGGGCTGTGCAAGCCTGACAGACTGGAGCCAGCCCCTCATGCCATCATGATGATGGCAGATTGCTGTGGCAGCCTGTCCACTCTCCACAGAACAGTCCTGTCTGCTCCTTCTCCTTGGCTCTCAGCCTCCCCCACTGTAGACCCCAGCAGAGCAGTGGATGCTCTGCTTTCTGCTGCAGGGAGGCAGCTATCCCCAGGACTGGAGTCAGCCATGCCTAAGTACTCAAGGCTTGGCATGCCTTTCCTGCTGTAGTGCTGAATTGTGGGGTGGCACCCCATGGCTCCTGCTGTATGTGGTGTTTGTGACATACCAGCAGTATCAGGGTTACTGATTGCTGAATACGTCAGCTCCATAAAGTAATAAGGAACTGGTGGCCTGTTGTCTGTTTATTCAGTGGAAATGGGAGGGGATGATAATGCCCATTGCAACAAGTGTTCTAGTGAGATGCTCAGGAGCTATTTCTGGAACTGTCAGAGGGGCAACTTAATTGCCACCTTAAGCTTTGTTCACCTGTCCTCCCACAGAGTTGGGATCCACAGGTCAACCCTGCCTCTCCAATGACAGGAAAAGTGAGCTAGCTCTAGATTACCCACTGCCAGATTCCATAACTGTCTAATTGTCTCCCCTTTCCTTGCCCAGTACAAAATCTGGGTAGCAGATTTTGGTAGAGGGGAGGGCTAAATGAGAAAGATAGCACTATATGGAAAGGTCTTTGACACATCAGCTGAGTGTCTATGCTAAACCTTCTTCTTTCAAAGAAACCAATTCCAGAACAAAAAGAGAAGGAAGCTGAGGCTATGGGTGAATGGTACACAGCTTCGGAGATTTCATGCCATTAAACCTTCAAATAGAGCCGGATCACCCAAGCTGCTTAAGAAAAAACATTGACAAGTAATAAGCAGGGTGGTGTGTGAAGATCTGTTGGACCAGGAGGCCTTTACAGCATGTTGGTGCATTGTTATGCCATCTTGAACCTACTACAATTTTCAAGTACCAGCTGCTTCCTTCAACTCTTCTCTGTGTACCTTAGGTTCTGTGGCTTTAATACCCATTACTAATAAACAGGTCCTGGTTTTAGAGAAAGCTGATCCTTTGAGATCACTCTTCTTTCAGGAACCCCTTTACTTGTGGAGTCCCCTTAGAGATGTCTGTTAACATGCAAATATTCTGCAATAATTAACACAATCTTGTTTCTTTTGACCCAGCAGCATTTGACTGGGAAGACTGAGAGAGCCAGAGACATAGGCATATATATACCTCATAAATCTCAGGATATTTAGATTTCTCAAGGCCACATCCTCCATTGTCATCTTTTGTAAACATATCACTGCCTTTTGACCACACCTAGGTTTTCCCTGATGCAATAGCAAACTAGCACTAAACCACAAATGTGCTGGTATCATTTTTCAGGTATTATACTCACAGATGCTTTGCGTCATAGTGTGGGCGTAGGTTAGTGACAGTCATACAAACTAGCCTAAGTTGGAGTTTGGAGGTACTCTGTGCCGAAGAAAATCCCTTCAGCATGGAGAGCAAGGAAGAAGTAGAGACACTTCTTCCGCAAGAGGATCTGAAGCTGCTCTTCTCAGACAAGATCTGAAGAGCTTTAGTAGACCTGCCCCAGTGCCCTTATAACTGAGTGTGGGAAAATAAGGGAAGATTGGCAAGGAGGATTGTAAATACACTCAATTGTCTTACAGGTGAAGTGTAGAAAAACATATATATTATACTAATTGTTGTTTAGTCTTGTATGTTTGATTAGTGGTACATTTGTCTTTAGATAACATAGGCCTGTGCTAGACATAGAGCCACGCCACTGAACATGCTTGACATTTCTTCTTTGCTGCAGTAAAGATCAAATCTCAGTTGTAAACTATGCCTGTAATAATCCCTGATATACATGTGAAAACAGCAGGTTTGGTGATCCTTGAGCATCGACCAGACTCCACAGTGCTGGCATCCCTGTTTGTGTGCCTCTGCCTGGGTCCTGCTTTGAGGATCCCCTGGTTGGTGAGGTAATGGAAATAAATTCACTTTACTTATTTTTTTACTTATTTTTTTACCTTTTTTTCTTTTTTTTTTTTTTTACTTTTACTTTACTTGGTGTTTAATCTGTGTTTTCGTGTTTGTTCCTGCATCCTGCCTGTGCTGGCTCACACACCAATCGACAGCCATCCTCCCTGTCTTAGCTGAGGAGTAACAGTGGTATAACCTGGCACAGGCTTGCATCGTGCATCTGCTCTTTTCTGTGCTGTCTGGGCTGGCCATGATTTTAGGACCATTTTTAGGATTTGGGTGATTTACCTCAGTTATGGAGACTTAGGCAAGGAGGCAACCTCATGCTTCGTGCTCTCTTTGTGAAAGGAAGGAACTTGTCAACTTGAAGTGTCATCAGCATCCAAAGGGCCTGGTAGTAGGTTCACCCCCGACAGGGAAACCAGCACTGCAGGCAAGATGGGACAAATTGCACCTGCCAGCAGTGAGTCCATCAGTTCCCCCAGGTGCTTTAGGAACCTCAGTGTAGCCTGGCTTCCAGCTCTGACTTTGCCTATTCCATCTTCCAGTAACCCTGACTGCCTTCAGCAGGTCTGTAGACCAGAGGGGTCCCTGAGGGTCTTCCTGCCTTGGGACTATGGCCTTTGGCTGCAAGAGACTGTCTACACTAGCCTGCTCTCTACCATCATGTAGCCATGCTGTACACCTGCAGTGGGAAGATGTGGTTTTCACTGATTTGGACCCAGGATGATTGCAAGGAAGCAGTCTGGCGGATGATGGTGGAGGCCCTGGTGAACCATAGCCCAGCCTTTCCGGGAGCTCAGGAAAGGCTTGAGCATTTCATGGCAGTGGAACCCCAAGGGAAGGTGTCTGTGAAAAACTTTGTGTCTGAGGCCTAGCACATAACATTATTTCCCAGGGTGTGCTGCTCTGTCAGAGGCCAAAGGAGCTGATCTTTGACTGGTATTATTATTTGACTTGCCATTACCCACCAGAGGCACATATAGGTTTCCACAAACATGAGAAGTGGCCAGGAAAAGACCATGGATGTAAGAGGAGGTGGCAGCAATGGGCTGGGAGACAGTACTTGCTTGACGTGACTGGGCGGGATTTTGTAAACCAGAGTGTGAGAGGAGCTGTGCAGGAGAAGGAAGGCTTAGCATGGTCAAAGTCACACCATTGACAGGACAGCCACACAAGACACAGCAGGGTTCCAGTAGCTACAAGGCACCCACCAAGCTAGCTAAGCTTAACAACTGGTCAGAGCAAGGTTGAGGTTGTATTTCTACACTAGCCTTCAACTTCAGTCCCCAGCACTGGAAGAGCCTTCCAAGGGGCAGAAGCACTGGGATCTTCCTCATAGCTTGGCTGTCTGGCATGGGCTCTTACAGTGCTGGGAGCCCAGATCTATACCAGCTCTTTGCTTTGTCATATATTGTCTTTGTTTTTCTTATTTGTCTTGGGTCAGTGTTCCCTGAAGCTTTGCCAAAGCAAAGAGGTGTTGTCAATAAGTCTGAATGACTTATTTCCTGGATACCTGACAGAAGTAGTTGGTGCTAGCACAGGATATTCTGCACTCCAGTGCATTGCATGGGCTATGCATGTTTCAGGTCTGCTTGTTGCTATTGTTTCTCTCAACTCTAAACTAGCTGCTCTGCTCCAGCTTCAGTTCCTGTGCTGATTTCTGGCTTTAGACTGCCTATGTACATAAAGAAGGCAGAAGCTGACCAGTGAAATTAATTCAAAAATTGAATAAATACCTTTTTTCTTACTATTTTTCCCATTACTGTAATGTGTTGGTAAAGTATTATGTGACCTTCTTTCTCTCATGTGTTCTCATTTTCCTGTTCCTCCACCACTTGATATGGGAGTGCTGTACTACAGTGAAGACAATAAATGATACTGCAACTGTTTGAGGATGAGAGAAGGAGAAGGTCAGCCACTATCCTTGCTCTTGCCTAACACGACTTTGGGTTCTTATGTGCCAGTTCATACAAGTCTATTTATCTCAAACTGCTTCTAAATAAAAATATAACTTTAAAACTTACCTCAAACACAAGAAAAAAGCCACAGGCACACCAGCCTGTCCTTGAAGAGAAGGCACCATATACAACTTCATATCAGTTATTTTATCTTGTTCTGAAAGGCATACAGGGCACCATCTGCTCTGGCTCAGGAAGAACTTGCTCCAACTGGAATTTAGCATAGGCATTGCACCTCTGCTCCTATGCATTCTGGAGCTTCCCTCACTGCTGCATTCTTTCCATCCTTTATGAATGATGATTTCTAAAGCAACCAGGGTGACTGTATACAGCACCCCTACCAAAAAAGGCTCTTTTCTGAAAGCAGAGTTCCTTTCTGTTGCCTTCATCCCAATGAAAGTAATGAGCAATCAACATGGAGACTTTTTTTTTTAATTTTTGTAGATTACTGTCAAGTTTCTTTACTGCAAGGAGCAGGGTTTTTCCTGTGCATTTCAAAACACAATATAGTGCTACTCAAATCCACTGATCAGCACAGGAGACTGTGCATGGCCCTCATGTGAGCAGCAATATTGCAGCTTTGTATCACACTCAGTGTTGCAGAGCCACACATTTTCATTTTCTTCAGCTTCAGAAGTATAAGCTAGAAAACAACTGAAATCCTTCTGCTTTGAAAGGGAAACATTTGCCAATGCATAGTCACAGCATTGACTCTTACAGCAGATCCCCAGCATCATACCTTTGAGATGCAGAAAATGTGAACTATCCCATCACACACACATGAAAGTGATAGAGACTTTGACAGCATGATTGCCATGAGCTGCTTTAGATATCAGCCTGGTATGAGTTGTGTTCTTCAGGGCATATAAGTGCATATATTAAAAAACTTGTATAGCTTGAAGACTGCAAATAGGGAGAAATTACTCATTGTCTCTCTTGATTTAAAAAATTCTCATTATACCAAATACAGTTTTTATATGTAGGTTCACAACAGAGGAAAGTAGTTCTTACAACATGCAGCTAAACATACCCATATTGCCAGGAAATCCTGTTGATGACAGAAGTATCTAAGTTCAAAACAAGACTGGAAAAGTGAACAGAAAAACATCTAGGTGCTATAAAATACAATGACAAGCTTGATCTGATTTTAGACAGCTTCTGTGTCTACATCACTGTCCACTCTTGTCACAGCCAACAGAAAGAAAGATGAGCTTCCAGGGCATCACTCTCTAGCTTATTTTGGACATCTGCATTCAGAGAGGTGAATCATGTACTCCAGATCCCTGGCTTCAGGAAGGAAATGTTTTTCTTTTCCTCTTCCTTAGGCATCTCCTCTAGATAATGGCAGAAGACAGGGCACGGGTTTAGTCAAACCTTACGGCTGATCAGGTTTCACTGCCATAGGTGTACCTGGTTCTCTCATCAGCTGTCAAAAACATGTTCTCAGGTAGGGAGGCATCTCCAGTGTAAGCACTTTTACTGGTGTTAAACTCTAGTCTACACCACTGGCATTACTCCTCAGCCTACTTCTGTTGCTGCTGCACTGGGTCAGGTGTGATCTGTTTATGCAGGCTTGGGAGCAGAGTACATCTCACTTACTTCTTCAGGGTGTAAGAAATACAAAGTGTGATTGCATGGGCAGTTCACAGAGCTCACTAGTCTCTGAGTCCACAAAGGGAGGGTAGAAAATAGAAATGTGTCATTCCCTGGACCTACTACAATAGGCCTATGTCTTTCCTGTGCTGAGGACTCTAGAGCTGGATGCGGTATTCCAGGTGAGGCCTCACCAGAACAGAGTAGAGGGGAAGAAACTCCTCCTTCGTCCTGCTGCCCACACTGCTGGTGATGCATAGCCCAGGACATGACTGGTTTCTGGGCTGTCAGCACACATGGTTGGTTCATGTGAAGCTTCTTGTCCACCAACACCCCCAAGTCGTTCTTTTTAGGGCTGATATCAGTCCATTTTCCACATGGCCTGTATGTGTGCTTGGGATTATTCTGACCCCATATGCTTCTGCTTTGCATCATAAAGCTTTTGAGTGAGATGTGTGGGAAGCATGATGTTTGTTTTCAGGAGCCAGAGGTTTCCTCCCTCAAGTGTCACTCAGGAAAGACAGTGTGCCAGAACAGTTTGTCCTCCCAAATCTCAAAACCAAGAAAGAGCATATTCTCATCCTGTGCAACTACTCATACCACAGAGGATGCCCTGAGGAAAACTCAGACAAATAACTGGAACATGGTGTCTATACAAGTAGAAAAATCTGCTCAACCTTTTGACAAGATGACTGTGCAATAGTATTCAGTGCTGTCAAAAAGACATACTGATGCCAAGGGATCAGTATATCTTGGGCAAACTACATACAACTGGAACTGAAGTTTTGATTCATCTCTGTTTATGCAAATGTTGGCCAGGGGGGAATAATCCTTCAGGAAGGGCCACTCAGGTAGTGTGGTCTTTACAAAGGCCTAATGACACACAAGGAAATCCTGTGTGTCAGTGCAGAGCATGGGAACACATAGCAGAAATCCAGGTTGCACTGAACATTGCGTGGCCCTCCACAGGGCCCTACCTGGACCACTGCCAACTTCTTACCTTGTTTCCCAGCCCAGGGTTACCAGGGCTTGACCATCTGTGTTTGCAAAGCAACAAGTGAAAAGGAACATGACCTGCCCCATTCAGATTGTCCCTCCTGCTGGAAGCACCAGCCTTGCCCAGATTTTTTCTTTTGCTGTCCCCTATACTCCACTTGCCCTGAGAGCAGTAGTGAGGTCCTTGGGAACACAAAGAGGACACCATTAAGAGGTCTATATCTGTCCAGACTGTGTGACAGAATCTATGAGATCCAGAATAGGAATGACCCAAAGCAACTGTCTCTGTGTGGAAGTATTTCTCTTGAGCCCAGTGCTGCCCTGTTTCACTACCTTACCTGGCACAGTCCCATTTCAGCTCCAGCACCCTGGTGAATCATTAACAGGCCAAGTCCAGCTGCTCCTTTCACAGCTTGTCTTTTCACACAGTTTTCTTTCCCAGCTCCAAATGTTTAATTCAAGCAAGGTACAGACAAAGAGGTAAAAAGATTTTATGTGAAACTGCATCTGCTGACATGGCAAGCAGCCACAGCAATAGTAGGAAAGTATGTCCTATCTCTGCACTCATGGTAGACAAGCTGGTCCTCCTTGCAACTTGCTTGTCCTTTGCTCTGACACTCTACAGACATCCCTGCTCCTGCTTTTACAGGCAGCAGTCTCTTTTGGGGCCTGAAATAGGAGTTAAAAGTATCTCTGTCTCCTTCATGAACTCTCTGGCCCTACTCCTTTACTAGCAGCACCTGGTCATTCACACCCCTGCAAGAAACTGCAATTTCCGTACTTTTTGCTTAGTGCAGGGTGGAGTTCTCTATTTCCAGGCTGGTCAAAGTAGGCGGGCAGTATAGAGCAGTCAGTCTTAGAGCTGGGATGTGCACAAAGAGGACAGGAAGGGGCAGGCACAGGTATAAGTAGGAGTTAAGTGCATGTGTATGTGACCCCAGAATGAAGGCAGAGTGCCTGTACATGAATGCACAGTTGTTCGTGTGACTGCCTGGAGGCATATGTACCACAGCAGTGAACGTGTGTGAGGGCAACTTTGCTTTAATCGGGTCTGCTGGTGCTTCAAGAGGACTTGTTAAGGTGAGATTTTCAACCATTTCTTGCTATCTAGCATGGATGCTCTTGATGCTAGCAAATTGTGACAATTTTCTGCAGACAGAAGCTGTGGGTCTGGCTTAGAGGGTAGTTCCTGCTTCTCCAGTCTTCTCAGTGCCCCTGCTCAGCTTTCCCACTAGTGACAGTCATGCCAGCTGCTCACCTCTGAATGGGAAGATGACTTCTAATTCTGCAGAAACTGACCAGGCCAAATTGAAGCAACATTTGAAAAAACTATGAACAACCATCAGTGCCATCAAAGACCAGTGACTGGAGCTTCTCTGGTGCCAGATCCTCTTTGTTATACTGCTGCCATTACAGCAACGGGGAACCTATACCTGCTTGGAGAACTTCCTCAGACTGGGAGCACGCTCAACATTAGTTTGCATAACACAAGGTGCTTTTGGGCTGTAACTATCTCACACCTGTCAGAGACATGCTGACATTCAATAAACCTGTAATCTGGGGATATGGCGCCCAATGCTGAGTATGTTTCATGTGTTTCATGGGTACATTTCCCTTGGGCTGCTTACTGCTTTCTGTAACGCTTGCTCTTTGCCAGGATCAAGCTTTTCCAAGGTCCCTGTGTGCTCCTGGAAAAGACTAAGACTGCTTTTTTTTTTTTTTTTTTTTTAAACAAGCTGCTCAGGCAGTATTTTCATAGCTTTGCTGTGGGAGACGCTAACATGTTGACACTGGATTGTTGTATTTTTGGGTAGTTTCTACATTGCATCCTTTGTGCCCTGAGATTCTTCCAGTTCTTTCTTCTCTCAGCCAAATCTTGGCTCAACCCTGTTAGCACACAGTAACAGTGTGCTTCTCTAGTTCTGCAGCTGAGATTGTCTCAATCACTTTGGGCTGATCTTTACTTGGCAGCACTGTGAGGGCTTAATTTTTTCACTTTTGCAACATGAAATTAACTCAAACACTGGTGACTCCAGACATTTGCTGTAGAGAAAATGTGGTTAAGCTTGAGACCTTAATTTAGAAATGTCCCAGTTCCCATGACAGAAATACTGTGGTGAAAAATAAGGTTATATAATTAGTATTTCTCTCATATTAGGGAATGCATGATAGTATAGTATGATGCTGCTCTTTCATTCCTCTTCATCAGGCACACAATTCACTTCAGTCCTTCTACTCTGTGGAACAGACTTGTGATGGCAAGTCACTCTGTGAAATGTCTAAAGCACCTTGATTTGATCCGAGATAAAAGTATACTCTTGTTTCCTAAAAAAAAAATTGATTCCATTCTCATACTCGGGCAATTCACATGTAGATTTCCAAAGAAACAACTATTTCTGCGGTTTTAAATCTACCTGGGTATCTACCTTTATGCCATTTTTCATGTCTGCTCAACAGAGTTTTTCTCAATTAATAGCTTCTGGCTATGTTCCAGGAACTTTGTCAGGAGTTAGAATAACAATATTAATGGTGCCAGATGGAAGTTCATTTGGAAGCCAGGACTTTTGGTAAACACTGCTTGTATTCATTTGGAAGGAAGAAGCTGATATATCACTTATTTTTACAACAGTCTTTGCAGCTCTTCCTAGGTTTGGTCCAAATAGCAACCTGGATCAGCTCTTTGTCAGATCTGAACACTACAGACCATCTGTGTAACCAAAAAAGGCCTTCTTGTCCAGGAGATAAGAATGATGTGGTCCCTTACTAAATGCACAGCCCCATCCTTGCAAGACATTACTAAAGTAAAATTCATATTATGGTGGCACCTATTGGCAACAATCAGACTTGCCTATTGTTCCTTACTCTGAGAAATTATAATTGCTGCCTTATAAACCCTAACCTCAGCACAAGTGCACAGCAGGTAACTTAGATAAACAAGCCAATTTATGCATGTATTTTGGAGGCACAGATTAGTACTGTTCCTTGTTGGTTAGCAGCAATGACTGTATGAATTATCAGAAGAGGCACCCCCATGGAAGTTAGTCTAAAAGCTCTGCTGCAGAGGAAAATTGTGGCAGAGCATAAGGAGGAGTTAGGGAAGCTCTGGGAACATTCATAATTACTATGGACCCAGATGACATGGCAAGCATGTAGCAGGGAAGCAGTGTCTGCTTTGCAGCTGGTTGAGTCAGTTTATACCTCTGCTGCTTGAGTAGGGGGGCTGCTGCTCTGCGTGGGCATAGCTGCTAGAGTCTTGTGCAATTGTGGACTGCACAAAAGCAGTGTACAAAGCTGTAAGGGCCTGGGCTCAGATGCTGCTCTGTCTGGGATTAACTTCTTGCACTAGAGGCCCTGCTCTGTCTGGTCTTGCTGTGCATTTCCCTGGAAAAACTGTCCATGGCTAGGAACCAGAAAAGTTTTTTCAATTTTAGTTCACCTTGGAAAACATAAAGTACCTGCACTAGCAAGAGAGATCTGTCTCTACTGTGGCACAGCTAAATGGCCAACCTGGCAGATGGGGAGCACTCCCTACTGCCTGGGCTTCAGCGCTGCCCAAGGAGCCTGTTCCTAGGGGTGACGCATGCTGCAGACACCTAACCTGTATTTGAAGCACAGTCAGGCACTGCTGGGGGACAGAAGAAGAGCACACAAAACAGGAATAATTGGTAAAGTGTGCTTTAATGTACTTTTTAAAAAAATAATTAAATATTTCTGCCTCAGATCCCATCTTCAGTAGTGTACTTCCTGCAGATTCCTGTGCCAGCTGGTATTCAGGCTATGAAGTCTCCCTGTGGCATTTTCATGCCATATCCCCAGTGGCATGAAAATTATTAGACATTTTCCAATAATTCAGCCATCCTCCACAGGAAGAAAAGCGGTTCGATATATGAAACAAGGAGCCAGCTTTGGGCAGACCTTTGAGTTCAACTAGCACATTCTACTGTACATCTTCTCATAAAAGACCTACAGAATGAGTGGGGTTAGAGGAAAGGATAGCAGGTGACAGTCTTTAAAAAGGAGTTAGGATAAGAAGGGGGCTAGTAGGGCAGGTAAGCAGTTAAGCCTGCCTACAGAAAGATGAGTCTTTCTAGCAGAATTGCCTACAAAGTTCAGTCTGTGGAGGAGATACTGTTGTTCTTGCATTTATTACAGTGCCAAGCTTCTTCCTTTGATATGTGAAGTTTTGCCTGTGTTGACAATAAATATTTCCTGAAATTTCAAAAGGCGTATAATCAAAATAAAAGGAAACCTACATTGTATGTTTTCAGCAGCATTTTGGCATAAAAATAATTGTAAATATTTGTCATAGTAGGTGTTTAAAAGTAAAATGTGGAACTGTTAAATTCTTCACAGAAAGTGAGGTTTTGCATCTTTCCATCTGTCTTTTTTTTTTTTTTTAATAAAAATTGCCAGTATCCTTTGCAGGGGTTATGTGCATGAAGTACATATTTGTATGTACCAATTTACTTCAGTGCACTCAACTAGCTCTTAAATGTTGATAAAAATGCAGACAAGCTTTTCAGTATCTTCTAAGACTGTATTAGAATGGGTTACTGAGAAACTGTGGTTTTGCTGCAGAAAACCTTCAGCCCTGCAGTACTTACGTCCTTTGCCAAGACCCCTTGTGCAGTGGTTGCCACAGTGTCACTAGTAATGTGGCAGCTGTCCAAAACCCTGTGCCTGCAGAGATGCACAGGAGCCTGATGCACATCCTGCCTTTTTCATCATCTTGTGATGCTGAACTTCCTCTGTCTCTGCAGGTCCCTTGCAATCATGGTGAAGTCTAGAAGAGTACAGGTGCTCCTGATTCTGGTAGTTCTGTCCTTCCTTCTGATCTACTTCCCACCCTGCAGCTACCATGCCCACATGGAAGAAAAACCTTCTCCTGTCCACATCCTCATTCTCTCCTCCTGGCGGTCAGGATCCTCCTTCACTGGACAAATCTTCAGCCAGCACCCCAGTGTCTTCTACCTGATGGAACCTGCATGGCATGTGTGGGTTAAGATGTACCAGAACAGTGCCAATGTCTTACACATGGCAGTGCGGGACTTAGTCAGGTCGGTCTTTCTGTGTGATATGTCTGTGTTTGATGCTTACATGTCTAGCCAGAAGAAAAAGTCTGATTTATTTCAATGGGAGACAAGCAGAGCCTTGTGCTCCCCACCTGCCTGTGACTCATTCAGTCGCAGTGACATAATCACTGCAGGCAACTGCAAAACAATCTGTGGCAAGTACCCATTCAGCAAGGTGGAGGAAGCTTGTAAAACCTATAGCCATGTTGCCATTAAGGAAGTTCGGTTCTTTGACCTGAAAGTTCTCTATCCGCTTCTCACTGATCCATCCCTGAACCTCAAAATCATTCACTTGGTACGTGATCCTCGGGCTGTGTTCAGGTCCCGAGAGAATACAATGGCAGACCTGAAACGTGACAGTAACATTGTTGTGGGGTCTCAGAAGACAAAGGGAGAAATGGGGCCCTACAACACAATGCAAGTAATCTGCAAAAGCCATGTTGAGATATACAAGGCAGGAAGACAGGCTGCTCCAAGCTTCCTGAAAGACCGGTATCTGCTGGTTCGCTATGAAGACATTGTCAGAGACCCGCTAGCAAGGGCTGCTCAGATGTACAGGTTTGCAGAACTCTATTTCACACCAGAGCTTCAGAAGTGGGTGCACAACATCACCCATGGGAAAGGTCACGGAGCACAGGCCTTTGATATTGGGTCAAGAGATGCACTGAGAGTATCCCAGGCTTGGAGAAAGACACTTCCTTTCCAGAAAATAGAAAAAGTGCAAAATGTGTGCAAAGATGCAATGGATTTGCTGGGCTACCGCCTTGTTCAATCTGAAGAAGAGCAGAAAAACATGTCTCTGGATCTTTTGTTTGCCCAGAACTCCTCTGAGTATCAAATTCTGAAGGCAGAAAAGCTGGTCTCTATACCTACTCTCTGAAGGCTGCAGAGTGCTGAACTGTTCACTAGAGCAAAAGAGGATAGAGGTGCAGGCATAGAAGTGTAGGAATGTGTGCATGGATGTGCATGGATTCAAGGACAAGTGGTACAAGAACCCTGACTACATTCAGGAGAGCTCTCAGCAGCACAGGGTCACTCTCTAAGACCCCTGGAGATTCAACCACAATGTAGGCCAAAGTAATGCAAGTTTGTTTTCCAAATTAATTATGTTTAGGTTGGAGCATACAGAATGTGAAAGGAGTAGGACCAGATAGCAGAAGCTCAAGCCCCCTCCACAGACCACAGCTGAAGACTAGGGAAACCACATGGAGCAACTGTGCTGCAAAGGAAGAGGAAATATAAAAGGAAGCTGAATAAAGAAACCTTTACTTGACATGCTGCCACGCAGGATATGTAGTGCCAGAAAAGACGTGAGGATGACCAGACATTTGGTTTCTGGAAGGATGTTGGGAATTGGGTTGTTTTTTTTGAATGGTTGAGTTTTCAAGACCAGTTTTCTTTTTGCTTCATTTGTGTGCCTGAGTATCCACCCTTGGTGGCAAAAGTAGGGAAATGTTTGTGTTCACGTAGTGTATAATGGGAAAATGGAATAAACCAGCTATTGCTGAAAATAGTAACTCCTGAGTTTTCATGTGAGAAACCATTTCTGGGATTATGTGAATCCATTTATTTTTTAGCTGAAATTATTCTGTCTTTTAGCTTTCAAACCCAAGAACAGTTGTTTTCCTGGGAATTCCCACAGTCCACATGGGTGACAGAAGAATTTGTGCTAAGGTTGAGATCCTAAAGACAAGGTACAGATATGGATTTCATTGGCATAAATACCAAAACTGAGAAGATAGGTTAGTAGGAGCGGATTGAAGAAACCAAGAGAAGATCAGGAAGTTGTCCCATTGAAATATTTGGTGAGAGTATTTCTTGTCTTGGAGCACAAAAAAATGTTTAATGGACTATGCTATTCTCCACTGTCTCCATTGGAAACGCTATTCTCCCACCTCCAATGAAATATATGGTTCAAACATGAACAGAATTGTTTTCACCTGGTTTTAAGTGTTCCAGAAGACAAGGAGAAAAACTTGTTACAAGATCTGGGGAGGAGTGAAGTGCCTGCAGATATCTATTTCTGAACATCCTCTCTCATGTGTAAATTGCAGAGTCTAACACATGTCTACAGAACACAAGCTACCTTAGCAATATGGGTATCTGTATTTCTAGAGCTAAACCCCTAATCCCTGAAAAGGGCAGGATACCGTATTATGGAAATAATAGTGTTATTACTAGGGATCTTGTTGAAGGACAAAATCCATGCTGAGCAGGCAGCACTGGAATCATGGTAGTAAGTTCTCTGAAAGCAAGGTAGCTTTCAGCATTTACACTGTGTTTATGCAAATTTAGGGCAGGCAAGCTGACATAGAGAAGTGGGAGTTATACTGTACCAGAGAAGCACAGACTCATTGTTTTTCTTTATAGTCTTTAAAACAGAACTTTACATATTCAGCTAAAAGCAGATAAAAGCTCATTCTCACTGAAGTCATAGTAGAGAGCTTCCTACTTTAAGTGCCAAGAAGCCAGATTCTGAGGAAAAATAGATTCTTTCCAGTACATTGCTAATTATCCCTACATTAACCAATGTCAGCTTGAGCAGCTTATTATGAATACTTGTTTCCAGTGGACACAATCGTGTGCCTCAAGTGTTTACCCGAATAAAAACCTTCAGTGTTTCCAGTCAGTAAAAAAATTACATGAAAGTAACTTATGATGCATTTCCCTAATGTATTGTTTTGAAAATTACTTTCACTTCTGCTTCCTAAGCTTAATCAGAGAAAATGCAGAGAACGATTGTTTTCAGTGTATCTTTATTACAGTCCTTTAGGTGTGCTTCCTCAATACAACAATTTGTAAGATTTTCTTTTTTTCTGGAAACAGCAAAGTCTGTTGCCAGTCTGGTCACATGAAAATTTAAAGCTGTCTTAATGCGAGCAAAGATAACTTAAAATACTTTTTGGAGGAGGAAAAAGAAAACTCAACAAAACCCCCCCAAAAATCTCAAGATGCTGATGATGAGATGTAAAAACTATGACTACATCCCTTGGCATATGAAATAAAGATCACAGAAGTCTGTTTAGAAACAAACATTAAGTTTATATGGTACAAGTTTAGAAGAGTAAACTGTTTTTATACCAGTGAAATGTAAGTCTCCAGTCAAAAGGACATTTAAAAGCTAAATCTGTGGTATTCCTGTCTGTTGCTCTTCAAACTGGTGCATAACATCAGTTTTTCATTGGTAACTCTAGTTATGAAAGCACAGAAATTAATTGATTTTGATGAATGCTGGGTAACTCTAAAAGGAAGCAAATAGGAAATACCCAAATTCCAGATAATAGTTTGCCGACCCAGAATTTCTAGCTGTAGAACTGCCTTTAACTCAAAGTTTTTGTATGTGCATTGCCACTTTGCTCACTTTTCTAGGTATACGAATATTGCTCCAGGCAGTAGCAGATAGAAACTCCTTTGAGCTACAAAAAGAACCTTCCTCATCTTTTGTGATAGTACAGGAACCTGAGATGAATATGAAAACCAAACTCTCTCCAGCATGTTGAAAGGAGCGTAACTGTGTTGTAGGTAAAAAAGCACAGAAAACAAGGATTTTTATCATGGGAAAAGACAGAATCAGAAGTAGGACCATATGATACAGCATCATTTTTGAGTCCTCCAAGTTTTAATCTAGTAAAAGAGACCTAGACCTAAGTGCATGCACAACTAAGCGTACCTGCAGAGTTTGTAACAGATGAAAGAGGGCAACACTGAGTAAACTGTAGTCTTTGTGTCTTAATTCATACACCTACTGAGTGCACCAAGCACACATGGGAAGCATTAGAACATCCCCAGCATTAGAAAATGTGTCCATACGGCTCTGTGAAGGCAAAAACACTCTGTGTGGTCTCAGAAGTTTGCATTGCACCTTAGACTAATTGGCCGAATAAGACAAACTCATTCTTAAAATAAAGTGCCACTTAGAATTATAATCTGACCATTTTATATTGCAGCTATTTAATATGTTCTACCTCTCACTTTGAATTCTAGAGCAGTTTTGTTAAACAGGACCATTGCAACACGATGGTGCTGCCAAGATGTGCCCACAGCTCAAGCTAGAATGGGAGTTTTCAGCTGCAAGAGGTTACAGGTCTCCTGTTCATGAACTTGGTCCACGATGCTGGTCATCAGCAAAACTTGCATTTCAAACCAAGCTGGTAACATTTCTACTTTAAAAAAAAAAAAAAAAAAAATTTGCTATGCTGTCTTGTACTCATTAAGTGCTTGTCTGGGCTCCAAACAAATCTCAAATAACTGTTCAAGGTCTGAATAGGGTGATTATGCCAAATAATTCTCACTTTTCTAGTCCAGTGAAACACTGCATAGTGCTGTTTTAGCATTTATTTGGTTACATCCTTGAATAATCAGTAAGTGTTGCAGTGGCTTCCTGGAACAGCAGTCTGGTTATATAGTTTTTTATTTTCAGTATAATTTTAATTTGGCTTAACCTCAGCCATTTCCCAATTCACCCCAATTTTCTGAGTACCACAGTGCAGTATGCTAAAAACCCAAAATGTTAACTCTTTAGAGAGGTAAAAAAAACCCCCGAACAACAAAAAAACCAAATGAACAAACAAAAAAACCAACAAAAACAAAACCATAACAAACTTCACCTTTACCAGCCCATTTTATTTCACCAAAAGAATGAATTCCAGATTTTTAGGACTCATTTCAAATAATATTAAATAAGTGACCAATTTCAGGCTAAAGGTACTGAGTTTTTCAGATTATGACTGTATCCTAGCAACGGCATTCTCTCTCAACCACAATTTAGGTAATAGATACAAAACCTCTGATCATTCTCTCTTAACTTTCATTTCCTACTTCAACTATTACTCAGCCCTGAAAGCTAGTGTACTTTTCCCAACTAGAATATATGGCCTGGTACAAGCGTTACTTTGTTTGGATTAAAGCAGCTGCATTTCTTAGATCTGTAGAGATGCAAAATAGGTCTTTTAATGCAAAAAAAATTCTTTAAAGCATTTTTGAAACTTCAGAATTTTGTCCTCGTTAACTCTTTCTAAACACTATCCGCTTTGCTACATTTTCAGCTCCAAATTTGGCTATCAATTTATTTCTGACATGTTCATCATCCTTTTGCAATTCTAAATCATCCTCTCTGCTCCATACAGGGTACCCATCCAAGCGCTGCCCTGTCTGCAGAAAGTATGAAGTAGCCTCCACATCACCGCTGTTTTTCAGAAAGGCCTGCGTAACAGTGAACAGGTCCACAGCAAACTTCTCCATGAAGTTCTCCATAGTTTTTATGACCTGTCCCACCACAGTGCTTTTTGCCTTTGGTCTTTCTTGCCTTTGTAACTGAATGTCAGGGAAAGCAGAGTCCTCTGGCCCAGTTTTCAGATCAGATGCTGTTTCTCCTGGGAACCTTCCCACACCATCTTGTGTAGAAAGTTGTGCAACATCCGAGGAATCACTTTCTGACTAAGAGTAAGAGAAGTAGAATCACTAATTAGACACGGTAGTTTCTGGCAAATCTTTTAGCACTGCAACCAAATACCTTTTACTCTGACTCTATAGTATATTAAAACCTCAGAAATTACTAGGCACAGTAAAAGTCAGTGACTGAAGCAAGCCCTATCTGTTAATGAGGCTGCACATGATCACGGAAATGCATGAACTATAAGGAAGAATTTGAACAAACTAAGCATAAAAAGCAAAAGTGTTGATGCAACTGCAGAAAGGTCTTTTACGTGAGGTGAAAGGCTGACTTCCATTTGCCAATACAGCTTTTAACGTGACAATCCCCATCACGTAAACCTCCTCATGTTAACTTAAGCAGGGAATCAAGAAGAAACGCACCAGCGAGGCACCACTTACTGCAAACCACGTAGGCGGCAGCTCACACGAACCTTCAGTTTTGTTACAGAAGGGATATCGCGGTGCAAACTCATTTCACGTGAGTTTTTATTGTGCCATCTGTGACACCGAGGAAGGCCCGCCCCGAGCACAGCGCGCAGTGGCGGCTACTGCTCCCCAGGCTGGCCCCGGTCGCTCACCTCCGTGCTTTCAAACTCCCGACTAGCTGCCGCGAACAGACCCCTGATCTGCGTGGGATCCTCCGTCTGCGGCGGCTCTGCGGAAACACGCGGGCATCGTCTGCCGGGCTTCAGCGGGGCCCGGGCCCACGCTCGCCGCCGCCACCAGGCCCCGTCGCA